AGAAGTAATATGATATGAAATTGAGTATGAAATTGAGCGAGATGAAAGGGAGTTGAAGGCTGACCAACTCAAATCCGGACCCACTTACTAGTTAGTGGCAGACTGTCGTGTAGAGCTCCCAACTTCCAATTGCCCTTGGTTGGTTGTTGGTATACAAGCGGGCCATTAGTGACTATATGGTGAATATCTATAGAAGCTATTGGCTTGCGACCGGGTGCTCCATTCAATCTCAGGAGAAACCGGGACAAGGGACCCTGGGCTCCGAGGCCCTTTCAAGCCTCGGGCTCAAGGTGCTGCAGCAATGCGGCACCTTGGGCTCGAGGACTTGAAAGGGGGGAGGAGAGAGAGGGGAGGGGGGAAAGGGAGGGAGGGAGGGAGGGGGGAAAAGGAGGAGGCAGCAACGGAGATTTTTCGATTTTTATTTTCCTTGACTCTTTTTTATTTATCTTGTTTTGGCTTTGAAGGATGAAGACAATTTAGAATCAGACAGGAATGACAAGTGCTAGTAATGTAAGTAATCACGAGCAGTAGTTCAGGGTAGGTCTTGGTGAGATAGATCTGCACAGAGTGAAATACCGTGCTTTCTCCAGTAATGCTGGAAAGCACTCACTGTAGCACCGTCTAGCAATAGCTAGTAACGACTAGTAATGTCTGACAGTACCGGAGCAGCTAGCAGTTCAGGGTGGGGTCTTGAAAGACATGGCCCATGCCTGTGTCTGTTTTGGGTTCAGGGCAGGTCATGGTCACAGTTGAATAGACCGTAGTAATGACTAGTAACGACTGTCAATGCCTGACAGTACCAGAGTTGGATAGATCCTGAATATATATAGTGAAATACCGTGCTACCTCTGGTAATGGCTAGTAATGGCTCTAATGCCTTACAATACCCCCTGTGTCCGTGTCTGACCCCCGATGAGCATCCTTGAGCGTGTCTGGGCAGGTGCATCACATTTAGTTACCCATATGCGTTCTTTTCAACTGGATCGGTTTTGCGTATCATGCATGGACCCATCCATACCAAGTAATGTTGGAGTAGGGGGACTCAAAACTCCTTTGCGTCGAGCACAGAATCACTTTTGCGAATGGCTATCAAAATCCTGCTGTTCCTAAGTAATGTGGACCTTGTGTGTGCCAGTACACAGATTCTCCATCTCCATGCACCACTTTCAGTAGTAGCCCAGCCCAGTGTCTCAACACGATACTCGAAAACCAATATGTCAATGGTGGGGTATCCCTTCCTTGAAACACCGTGGCACCCTTCTAGCAATGGCTAGTAAGGCCTGGTCACACCGTTGCACCTTCTAGTAATGGCTAGTAATGACCAGTGATGGCTGATTACACCGCACCGCACGACTAAACTAGTATGTCACAAAAGTTATCCATGTCTTGAAAACATCATTGCACTCTCTAGTAATGGCTAATGAGGCCTGATAATACTGTAGCACCCTCTAGTAATGCCTAGTAATGCCTAGTAACGCACGAAACCAGCCAGGATCGAACTCAGGTTGGGAAACCCTAACCCAATCAAAGTCCGAAATATTCGGACGCGAATTTGTGTCCCTCACTTGCTCGCTTTTTCCTGATTTGCGTAGGGTATGACCTCCCATGGGCCAATCCTATTATATGAAGGGAAAGGTGAAAGTGCATATTGAATGCGCGTGTAATCTAGTACTGTTCATTATGGATAAGACCAGTTTTCAATTGGTTGAATTCCTAGTAGGAGGTGAAAGCAGACCTGACCACCGCTGCGGCAACGGATGGGTTAGTCTAGTAACCTTCTATGATTTGAATGCGATACAAGCTGAATCTTGACCGAGCTATTGATGTGCCTGACTATCAGGATGTACTGGCTTGGGATGGTTATAAGCTTAGGCCTATATTGAGCACACTGCGCTCAACGCCTAGACTCGTCAGATAGTCTGTTGATTGTCTGCAATGTTGAAGCGATGTGGATTACTTGCCGATGGCCAAACCTGAAAGCAACTAACCATTTGAGAATCCGCTGCGACTGTGTGCTTTATTGCGCTGGTTGTTAGTAGTTCTCTCCAAGGACCGCCATCTTAGTTGCTTAGCTGTGACTGAGGGAAGTGTGTTCGAAATTTGTGAGATCGGGGAACAAGGTGTTTCGGTTGGTGATCAAGTGGAAACTAGTACTCATTGGGGAACGTAGTACGCTTGGTTACTGCTGAATCGATACAATTCAGTGTAATGAACTCCACGAGACTGAACGGTCTGCAAAGGCCTAGTAAGTAACGTCGACGATGTCTTGCCGTTAACTGGCGGTCGTCTGCTGCTTTCACAAGCAGTGGGATTAGTCGTAGTTACCTGGTTGATCCTGCCAGTAGTCATATGCTTGTCTCAAAGATTAAGCCATGCATGTCTAAGTATAAACAAATTTGTACTGTGAAACTGCGAATGGCTCATTAAATCAGTTATAGTTTATTTGATGGTTCATTGCTACATGGATAACTGTGGTAATTCTAGAGCTAATACATGCATT